TCTAGCAGCCTTTTCCTCCTCCTCCTCCTCCTCCTTCAGCTCCCTTTTCTTCCTTCTCCATCTCATACTCCTTCTCTTCCACTCCAACTCCTCTTCCTCATCCCCCTCATAATACATCTCCTCCTCATAATCATCATCATCGACCGATTCCTCTTCCTCCTGCTCATCCTCCTCCTTCTCCTGATTCCTCAGGGCATGCGAAGCCCACGGATGCTGCCCCCCAATCCTGCTCATCCATCTCCTCATCGATATCCTCCTCCTCCTTCTTCTCATATCCCTCCCTCCCACCTCCCTCATCCTCCTCCCTCAACCCTCCCTCCTCCTCCTCCTCCTCCTCCTCCTCCTCCTCCTCCTCCCTCCCACCTCCCTCCACCTCCTCCTCCTCCTCCTCCTCCTCCTCCTCCTTCTCCTCCCTCGAGCAGGGAGGAGCGGATTTCTGCGTCGATTTTTGTGCGCGGGTTTTTGCCCGAAGCGGCGAACGAAAAACAAAGTGAACTTCGCGTGGATACGTTTTGGGCTTCATCCCGAGCCAACAGAACATCCGCACGAAGTTCACCTCGAAGTCCGGCACGAGATGCTCCAGGACACTTCGGGCCCACCCTGTCGTTTTCCGGACGAAACTCGCTCTGCGATGTTGGCGCCATGACGAACTTCCAGGGAGACCCACTGCAGTCTGCCACGCCCTCCCCGGCGCGCGGCGCGCGTGCCCGCCGGGTGCCCGCCTTTGGCGGCGCGCACTTGGGGGTAGGGTCATAAGTCGGGCGTGTCCCTCTACAGGGGGAGTACTCGAAAATTGTCATAAAATAGTCTGGAGGGGCTATTTGTTTAGTATGCTTGGTTATGTTTTGACTATTTTCTGGCTACGTTTAAACTTTCGTCCAACATTCGACTGTAGGAGGACACGCCCGACCTAAGGGTAGGGGGGAGGGCTTCTTGAGAGAGCCAAAACTCCACCCTCATAACAATCACCCCGGCATGCGAAGCCGTTGAGTAAACGCACCCAAAGAAGGAATCGAACAGGGCAGACTTGTTCACTAAACGCCCAGGGCCGTCTAGCAAGCGCCAATGATCGCTTCCGGATGGCTTTTCCTCCCTTGACTCTAAAAAGGAGGCATCCTCTTAGAAGGCGCCGGCTTCACATCTACAGACAACGCCCCCGCCATCCCAGAAGCAGGAGCGCTTCTGAGAGCCACTCCCCCCCCAACCACCCTCTGCGAGTGGCCGACGTGTGCCTGGCTGCCTGCCCAAGATCCTTTGAGCAGGGACCGACCGTCCAGGCATTCCTATAGGCCTATCACGAAATAATATTAGAACCCCAAAAAATTCTAAGAACAAGAACCGTGCTCTTAGAACATAAGCCCGATGGGTTAACACAAGATAGTCCCAGCCAGAAATGTTCTAAGAACATCTCGCGCTTACGACAAAAGGTTCCTAGAACATTCTTTGGTGGTCCTATAGACGAGCCGAAGCCACTGCTTGAGTCCTTCGCCTCCCTGCCTGTGGACGCCAGAGCCGAGTCCGACACGCGGGCGGCGCCGCCCCGCCCCAGACTTCCAGGGCGGCGGCGGCGGCGGCGCTGCTGCCGCCGCCGCCGCCGCCGTCGCCGTCGCCATCGCCGTCGCCGCCGTCGCCATTGCCGTCGCCATTCCCGTGGCCCTTGCCGTCGCCGTCACCATTCGGGGATCCCAGGTCAATCCAGACCCGAGCCAGTCAAGCCTTGCAGAATGCTGCAAGCTCGTGCAAGATCCTGCACCCAAGCCCAGGTCAATGCGCAGCATCCTGCAGGATCCTGCAGGATCCTGCAGGATCCTGCGCCCAAGCCCGGGTCAATGCGACCCTGGCCCTGCAGGATCCTGCAAGATCGGGCGCTCTGGCTGACCTCCGTTTGCATTGGCCCCCGCCTCCTGAACCCCTCCTCCTCCTCCTCCTCCTCCTCCTCCTCCTCCTCCTCCTCCTCCTCCTCCCTCCTCCTCCTCCTCCCCTCCTCCACCTCCTCCACCTCCTCTCCTCCTCCTCCTCCTCCTCCTCCTCCTCCTCCTCCTCCTCCTCCTCCTCCTCCTCCCCCTCCTCCTCCTCCCCCTCCTCGTCGTCCGCCACTGTCGCCGCCGCCAGCGTCGTCGCCGCCGTCGCTGCCGACGTCGCCGTTGCCGCCATCGACGTCGTCGGCGGCGGCGGAGGCGGCGTCGGAGGCGGCCCCCTGCGGCGCGGGAGCTCGGGGCCACGGATGCGATGCGAGAAGCCCAGAAGCCCCACGGAGGCCCAGCGAGGTGCTCCGAGAGCAGGCAGGAGGGCGCAAGCAGCCAGGAGTAGAGAAGCTTGCCCTCTGCGGCCTGCACCTCCGGGGCAGTCGTGGCTCCTGGATGGCAGCCCTGGCGCGCGTCCTGACCGGGAGTTCGATTGGAGCGCTCGTGGTAAACTCACCGATTGAGTATCGTTGATCCGATCCCCATCCCCAGCGGCGTGGCCTGGGCCCCACTGGCCGATTCGCCGATTTACTCCCCTAAATGGTGATATACGCCGTTCCGTTCGGGTTTCGAGGGGATGTATCCCCAACTGGGGGGGTAATTGGGGGGGGTCTCGAAGGGGATGAGGATGGGGATGGGGGTCGGATCAACGATACTGACCGATAGCAGCAGAACTCCTTCCCCATGTCTCCCCACCACTTGTTGTCCTCAGCAACGTGCAGCCGATTTGTTCCGTCCACAGCAGATCTGGCATCCACAAGAAACTGCAAGATCTCGTGGTTCCAGCGTTTTCTGGGCCCGTGTGGTCGGCGACCCCTTGCTCTCTGGCGGTCCGCCGCGTTCCGAGTCGTTACCTTCACTGTCGAAGGTCCCCGAAGGGTCACCGAAGGTCCTAGACGAGGAGATGAATCCTCCGGCCGCCGAATGTCCCAGACGAGGAAAGAAATCCTCCTCCTCCTCCTCCTCCTCCTCCTCCTGCTCCTTCGCTGCACCGCTTTCTCAAGCAGCATGGGGGACTTTATACCCACAGGCATGTCCTATGCCGGATGTGTGGTTGACCTTCCTTGGTGACACGCTAGTCCGCCTCCCCCTCGATGACAAAAGAACAACACACACCCATACACCCTGCGAAATGCTTAAGAAATCATGGGTTAAGAAATCCATGGTCTCAGAACTTCAATAAAAACTCAAACATTCTATTCAAACTTTAGGATTTACATTGAAACGTTAAGAATAATCGAGACTCTGGCCGAAAACTTAGGTTTTCTTCAGCATCGCCTAAGGTGTACCAATGGGGGGGACGGAGTGGGCTATGGGTGCTCGGGAGCTTCCCCGGGGGTCCGACAGCCCGAACCCATACCCAGAGCCAGTCCTCCCCCCTCCGACCCTCCTACGTATGGGTATGGATTTGTGCTGTTCGTGTGTCCCTCGACCCCCTTCGGCTGCGGCTGCCTCACGCCCAGCTGGCCGATGGGCAGGGCGTTCAGCAGCGCCATCGGGGGCTGGATGGCGATGTGCTCGCGGGGGGCCGGCGAGGGGCAAGGGGCCGAATCCAAGGAGACGCAAGGTCTGGATGGGACGCAAAACGTGGATGGAGAGGACCCCAAGCATCGGACGTCTCGATTTTTTCGTGACGCGGGCCCCCGACCTCCCGACCACTTCCCCAGGACCGGTTTTCCGAGTCGTTTTCTGACGGCCCCGAGGCCCGGCGAGGGCCCCGAGAGGCTGAAAACGGTGAAAAACCTCCGTCTTGATTTTTTCGAGACGCCCGATGTCTGGGCACGGGCGAGGAGGAGGGGGAGGCGGGAGAGGCTCGACGATCGAGGATCGAGAGATTTCAGCGTGTTCAAAACTGCCTCCTGGGCCTCCAGAGAACCTCTCGAGGCCTGCGCGTGGAGATGGATGGAGGCAGAGGGCGTGGAGAAACACGAGAGGGATGGGCACGAGGGGGGGGTGATGATGAGGGGGGAAGACCCAGGACACGATTGCGTCGGAAACAAGTCAGGGCGGGAGGTTTCTTGCCAGTTTCGGCCCCGGGAAGCCCTCGCCGTGCCTCGGGACCGTCAACAAAACGACTCAGAACGAAAAACAAGTCCCGGGGAAAGGGTCGGGACTTCCGGGGACGCCGTCCTGAAAAAATCTGGACGTCGCATGTCTGGGGAGGGGTAGGAGAGAGGCGAGGGTAAGGGCGAGGAGGTGGAGGCCGAAGGAGGACGACGACACAGTGGAGGGAGAGAGGAGGAAGGAGGACGCGGAGAACGGAGAGGATGAGGATGATGAGGGCAGAGAAGTGGCAAGCGAGTGTAACGCGAGAAGAGGTTGGCACGAAGTCCGCCCGCGACGCCCTTTGAGGCGCCATCCTATCAGGGCTACAAGGGTGAATAATCCCACCAGCCCTCTGGGCGTAGGTGTTTTGTAAGTGGTTTAGCCAGTCACCTTTTCCAATCTCCACTGGGAGCAACGAGTGGCCTTTGCCGTGCGGAACTGAGCTTTGCAATGCCAAGATGCACTGGAAAATGGCTGCGGTGCGAGGGAATGACCCGGCGACTCCCTACCAGACCAGCCCCCCAAATTGCCCGACACACCCTAAGATTGCGCCAGGATGGTCCCAGTGAGTCCCGTGTACTTCATGACCGCTCCAGCAGGCTCTGAGAGGGCGCAGGGGACATGGCACGATAGCCTCTTCGAGTCTCGAAAGCGCAGGGGACATGGGCACGATGAGGAGAGAAGGGATGGGGGGCGCATCCAGCAACATGTGGCGGACAGGTGGCGGATAGGTGGCGCATAGGACGCGTGTGCACGCACACGCGGCCAATAGGGGAAGCCAGGGCCAGCGCGACCCCAGGGCGGTGGCGGCCGCACCGGAAGCGCCGTGCGGCGCACCTCGGCGGTGGACAAACCTCCCTTTAGTCTACCTCCTCTTAGTGAAAACGGCCTGGGACCGAAACCGACGGACCTGGACCCGCAAAAGTGACGGCCGCGACGCCCTCTCGCGAACCAAAAACGGCCCATTCCTTAATCGACGTGTCAAGGTAGGAGGTCTATCCAACTCCGACCAGGGGGGCCAGGGCTCCGGGCCAGGTATTTTTTTCTTCCCCGCAGATGCAACCATCGGTTCTGCCCCTGCCTGAGCAGGGTCCGAAACCCAGGCCCCAGCAAGGAAAAAAAAACCCGACGATGAATCTGAATCGTCGCTCTCCCCCCGCCGCCCAAAAGCTGGCATCACAGAGGCTTCAGCCTCTTCGAGGGCGAGGGCTCTGGGCCAGGGAGCTGGAGGAAAGAGGACGAGCAAAAAGAGAGCGGGCCATGAAGTCCGGGAGGCTGCATGGCATTGGCTATGCTGCCCACGCACGCCCTCTTCGACGCCTTCTGGCTTTCGGGTCATAGCTTGATGGGCAGACTTTCCGCCACCGCTGCAATATGTAGGACGGGGGAGAAGGGAGGATGAGGAGGTTCTCCTCCTCCTCATCTTCTTTTTCTGCTTGTTCTCCTGAGTATTATTATTATCATTATTCGGCCTCCTCCTCCTCCTCCTCCGCCTCCTCCTCCTCCTCATCCTCCTCCTCCTCCGCCTCCTCCTCGTCCTCCTCCTCTCCACGACGCATATACTAGAAGACTTCTCGGTGCGCGCGTCGCCCCTGGGGGGGCGACGCACATGTAGTAGAAGTATGTCGGGTCACGCCGATCCCGGCGCGAGAAACCCTCCAAGAGCCAAGAACTACCCAGAGATCCGATGTCGTGATTTTCAGCCCAGACATCGGGCGTCTCGAAAAAATCGAGACGGGTTTTTGTCGGTCGTTTGCGGCCTCCCGGGGCCCTCAAAAGACGACTCGGGATGAAAAGCCGGCCCCAAGGAAGTGGTCAGGACGTCGGGGGCCCGCGTCTCGAACAAAGCGGACGTCGGGGTCCCAGAAGTCTCGACCCATTCCCCACGACCAATTTTTTCATCCCGAGTCGTTTGTGGACGGTCCTGGGACCCGGCGAAGGCCCCTAGACGCATACAATTAAAAAACCCTCCGTCTTGGTTTGTCCATTGCGTTGGATCTCTGAGAACGCCCTCCCCGCCCTCTCTTTTCCTACCCCCGTCGTCGACGACAGTTCCCTCGCCCCCCTCCTGGACGCCCCCCGAGCAGAGCTGCATGGCGGCCACGATGCGGAGCCACCAACGCGCGCACGAGCTGGGGGGAGGAGAGCTTCGGTCGGGACGGGCGGAGGAGGAGGAGGAGAAGAGAAAAAGCAGGAGGAAGGAGGAGGAAGTAGGAGGAGGAGGAGGAGGAGGAGAAGGAGCAGGAGGAAGGAGGAGGAAGGAAGAGGAGGAGGAGGAGAAGGAGGAGGAGGAGGAGAAGGAGGAGGAGGAGGAGGAGGAGAAGGAGGAGGAGGGGGGATGGGGAGGACCTTTTTGGACCTTTTGACCAAGCACGGGGCGTGCGGGGGGGGGGGGGGGAGGGGGAGAAAAGCGGACCCCGAACGGGGGTGCTTAGGTGCAGGCGGGACCCCACCTCACCGCCACACCCCCGCACCTCCCACTGGCCAGCTGACCCTCCGCGGGAGGGCCAGTTAACCAGCGGAGGCGGGCGGCCCACCGTCCCCCCCCTCGGGCGCAGCACGCGCAAACAACTTCTCAAGGCTACCGCGTTCACGCGCATCGAGGGCAGCTTGCAAAGGCTTAGGCACCCCTTCTCTGCGGGGGTACATGCCTCCCTCGATGCGGCTTAAATTCTCACGGCCTTTGCGGGAGAGGCCCTCGCATCTCGCCGCGAGGTGGCGCCCATCGACCGTGGCGTACTTGCCACAGGTGGTGCAGAAACTCAGGAGGTAGCGCTCCCACCTCTGGACGGTATGAGAGGGGTGCACGTCCCTTCCAGCCGCCAAGCCCCCGCTACACGCCCCCACACCAAGGAGAGGGAGGCCACGGCACTGGGTCTTGGCGGCTTCAATGAGACGTGACACGGGCACTACAATATCACAACTCCTGCACCTCCATGGGCCTCTGCTTGCTCGAAGCTCTGGCTGGAGGCCTGCAGTACACGATGCCTCTTCGAGGGGGGGGCTCTGCGCTGCACAGTGGCCCGCACTCCCCTCCATGGGTCAGCCTCCGCAGCCAGGGCCAAGGCGCGCCTCGCACGAGCTCGAACCAGGGTGCCAATCGCATCCCAGTGGTCAGTCTGAGGCTCGCCCCCTTCCACCGAAACCGCCCACCCTCTCCCCGCCGCAGCCCCCGCCTCCTCAGGGGGGGGAGGGGGAGGAGGAGGAGGCGGAGGAGGAGGAGGGAGGAGGAGGAGGAGGCGGAGGAGGAGGGCAGGGGTCGGGACGGGCGGCTCGAGGAAAGCACGCCCAGGCTGAACAACAACTGTTTTCCCGTCGGCGGCGAGTCAGACCCAGAGATCCAGCGAAATTATGGACAAAAACCAAGAAAGACATGTGTTATTTTTTGTTGTGAAACAACAACAAAAAGTGCTGGGCCTCTAGAGGCCCTCGCCGAGCCCTGGGGCCGTCAAAAACGACTCGGGATGACAAGCCGGTCCCAGGGAATGGGTCGAGACTTCTGGGGACCCCGCATGGGAAAAATCACATCGGATCTCCTGAGAGTTGGCTGCACCTGAGGCAGAGCTACACGGGGCACCGAGCAGCGAGTTAGCCGGCGTGCAAGAGCAGGAAGAGGGCGAAGTTAGGTGGGGCATGCCCCTACAGGCGGATTTTGAATGATCTTCCTTTTACAAAAACGAGCAACACGCAAACATGGCCCAATAATAATTTTAAACATGTTGGATGTTTCTCCTGTAGAGGGACGTGCCCGACTTAGAAACAGATCTTCGGCGGCTTGAGCCTGCCCGGGCCCCCCCCCCTCCTCCTCCTATCGCCTCGCCCAGCGCGCGCGGGAGCATCGGGGCGGACGAAGGGGGGGAGGAGCAATGGAGAGCTGAGCGAATCGGCTCACGCAGCTGGTTTTCCCAGCGCATCCTCCTCCTCCTCCTCCTCCTCCGCCTCCTCCTCCTCCTCCTCCTTCTCCTCCGCCTTCTCCTCCTCCTCCGCCTCCTCCTCCTCCTCCTCCTCCTCCTCCTCCTCCTACGTCTCGAGGAGGGCGCCCAGGGGCAGTGCCGAGACCAGCTGCCGAGACTCTAGAGGCCTCCTGCACGGGGTCCGAGAAGATGGGGCTGGAACGGAGAATCGCGCCGCATCGCTGGTGCATCGGCGACGCACCGGTGATCCATCGGCGACGCCAGCGAGATGCATCGGCGATGTCGGCGTGGAGAGGACCGGGCGCCACATCGAGCTGTATCGGTGATGCCTCGGAAATGCGTTGCGATCCACCGACCCCATCTGCTCGGACCGAACTTTCGGTTGCGCACCCAGGGGGAAGGAAGTGAGAGGGAGCACACCGTTTCAGAAAGGCGGCGGGGCTTCTCAGAAGCCCTCCGGCCTTCTGAGAAACTGCGTCTCCAGAAAATAGAGAAGGAGCAAACTGCATAAACATAGTGCGGGCGCGGCCGCAAGAAACCCTCGCAAGAAACCCAGCCCTGAGAACCCGTGCGCGAGGTGCACCTGAGGGGAAACCTGGAGCACCCTGAACGCAGCAGCTCCTCCAACGGCTGCGGGAAGCCACCGCGCGGCGGGAGGACAGAAAAGCGGGAGGAGCGCAGAAAAACCCATGATACCCTGACGAAAAGCATATGGTTTCTTGATGCGTGCCGCGGATCGGGGGGCCGCTCCTTCAAGCGCGGGCGAGTGCATCGACGCAAGCGCGCGCGAGCAACCCGAGACGAGGCGGAGGAGGAGGGGGAGGAGGGGGAGGAGGAGCAGGAGCAGGATGAGGAGCAGGAAGAGGAGCAGGAGGACGACGTCAAGAGGGCCTCCAGGAAGGCCAGAAAAGGCAAACAAACAAAAAAACATATGCTCCTACGGTTTTTGAAGGTTTTTGCAACTTGCTTCTTTTCGGCCTTCCGAGGGGCTGGGCCCGAGACAGCCCAAGAGGCTCCCAAGATGTCCCCAAGAGCAACCGGCGGCGGCGGCGAAGGAGGCGCTGCCACGGGGGGGCCCACCGCCGATCCGAGAGACGGAAGGGGCCCTGGGACACACAAACGAGTAGACACAGACAACAGGACTTCCTCAGGGCTTTTGTCCTCCCCCACACTGCCCATAGTTTCCCACATGTTCCTGGGAGTGGACGATGACTTGTGTCTGTGTGCTTTTTCCCTCCCGAGAGACCCGCGCGGAGCGTCGAAAACTTACGTTTCTTCGGCTGCTTCGCTCCGAGAGAAGGCTCGGGCAGCTTCTCGGAAGGTCGGAGGACTGCTGCGTCCCCTGAGCAGGCCCGCCCTCCCCCCCCCCCTGCCTCCCCAAACTGGAACCCGACGCCAGAGTTCAGGAAACCGGGACTGTGCCCCCCCTCCGCCGAACCCGATGCGGGGCGGCTGGGCCGCCGTGAGCATCGTCGGCACCGGCTGCGAGCGCTCGTACCTGCCGCTGCGGGCGGAAGGGTCTCCCCCCGCGCGAGCGCGCGCGCTTCCGATGAGCGTCGTTTAACCGACCCCCATCCCCGTGCGCGCGGCCTTGGCCCCACTGGCTGATGAACCCCCCCTGATGAGGACATAGGCCGGTTCTTTCGGGTTTCGAGGTGTACGCCCCCAACTGGTAAGGAGGTGGGGGTCTCGGGACGGGGATGGGGATGTGCATAGGGATCGCTCAAACGATACTGAGTACCTGCCGCAGCCGGCGAGGGACCTCTCCCCGCGCGAGCGCTCTTCAGAGGGCCAAGCCGAGACAGCGGCGGCCTTAATGGGCCGATGTTCCACAACCGCAGCCATAGGTAGGAGAGGGCGAAGGAAGAGGAGGAGGACGAGGAGGAGGAGGAGGAGCAGCAGCAGCAGCGGCCGCAGCAGCAGCGGCCGCAGCAGCA